AATCAAGCATTGGAACAGCCTACCCAGAGAGGTGGTGGATTCACCATCCCTGGAGGTTTTTAAGCAGAGATTGGATGTGGCCCTTAGTGCCATGATATAGTAATTGGAGTTGGATCAGGGGTTGGACTTGATGATCTTGGAGGTCTTTTCCAACCCAATCTATTCTATGATTCTATTCTATGATTCTATAATCTTGGACTAAAATCTACAGTTGCAGACAAGACACTCCTGCAATTCTAAAATGTAATAGTCATCCACTTAGAAATTTATATACAATTACATGTGTAGCTGCAACAAATAAAATTATTCAAGTGAGTTGTGGTTGATTCTTGAACTTCAATTATGCTTTAATAATAATTAAGCTATAAATAACCTGTTGCACATGGGAGAGATCAAGCAGTGGAGCTGATTCATTGCATTAAGACTAGAATAGCTCCTGTTTAAAATTGCCAGTTCACTTGCCTGCCCCTTCTAATGCTAGCTGTCAGGACCCCTTACCCAGAGCTGACTGGTGTGGAGGGTTGGTTTATTTAATTTCTGAAATCTCTCCTAATGTGTGCGCTTTGTTTTCTCTCTTCCGTTCCCTCAGATCGTGCGGCGCAGGACTCAGCGCAGGAAATCTGGCATCACCTCTCTGCTTTTCGGTAAGAACAACCATCTGCCCTTCATATGCTGTTGATGGTTATTGAAGCCCAGGAGGGAGGGAAGTGAGCAAAGCAGGGAAACACTGGGACTGAGGAATTGGAGAGAAGGGAGACAGAACTGAAGGATGAGAGGGAAGAAGTGCAGTTTACTACTTGATTGCTTTGAGCTCAGAAAGTAAATTTTAGGTTAGACTGTTAGTCCATGAATGGTGACCAACAGCAGGTGCAGCTCAGCCCAGCTGTAATGTCCTTGCACTGATCAACAGGGCAGACACATTTTCTGGCAGACCATATGCAGTCCACAGGCTGGATGTGATACTCTCCTGATGTTACTCTGCTCAGTTCAAGAACATCTCTGAAGATCTGAGACAGGACAGGATGTCCAGTGTGCCACCCATCAGAATTTATAAATGCAAAACATCATTATGTTTCCCCTTACTTACTCTGAGAATTCAGTGCTATGAACACTTTTGAGTCTTAATTTTCTTCACTTATGAGCTAAGCCAAAAAATGTCCATAATGCACACAGCCAGAATAGATTTTGCATGGTTTTAACACTAACTTATTTCTTTGACTCCGTTAGAGTCCCTTCTACTGTAAGCCTTATTGTCATCACCATCCTTGCAACTGGTTAGCTTTCTTGAAGTTGCCACATGTCACCACAGGAATATTTTTTTTTCTGGAGGAAGACAACATACTGAATTTACAGGGTTCCAACAATGTTCCTGTTGTAGTTGAAATGGCCTGAATAAATCTAAAATTGTGTTTTACTGGTCTTTCCAGAGAACAGTTTTTCTGATGTTCTCCAAGAAGGTGATATATTGTCACAGGCTTCCTCTATGCTTCCACATAGAGCATTATGTATAAAAATTCTGGTAGGATCCCAATGAAGCTGTAAAGTCAGGCATGCAGAAGTGAAGAAATGCGGAGAAGTTGCTTGAGCAACCTACACTCAGAGCCCTTGTATGTAATGTTATCATACAGTCAGCACAGACTGAACTGGTAGGGAACTTGGCTGTCACATACATCTTTCTTGTGTCTCAGACAGTCTCCTTTACCATGTTTGAGTAGTTTTATGATGGTAATAGTGAGTTATACACGTGCACAAAGATAAAGTTTAAGTTCAAGCTCCAAAATATATCCATGGTAGAACTGAGATGATTGATAGTGTTTTCTTATTTTAGTGGGGTTTCTGTACAAGGACCGTCATGTTTTTTACCCAACATTATTCCTAGTATTTGAAATGTTGATTAAAAACAAGAAGTTGACCAGAATGGAGAACTTCAGCCCAAGTGAGAAGAAGGAAAACTTCGCCTTATATTGGGAACTGACAATCGAGCATTGGAAAGTCTTCTGCTTGTGATAGTTACTGTATGGCACTGGTACATATCCCTCATCTGGGAGGGAATAAGAACTTACCCAGAGCTTAATTCTTCTTCCTTAGAGTGAATTCAGATGTAGTAGTAACTTGGACAGGAGTCACAGAAGCACAGGAGCATTGTTTAGAAGAGACCTCTCGCTGTCTGTGTTCCAGCATCTCCTGCTCGAAGCCAGGCTCTTGCTCATGTTAGGTCAGGTCAGCCAGGGCTTCTTCTAGTTGAGACTCAGGGAGTTGAACCAGATTTCCAATGAAGGAATAGAAAGAAACAATGAAAAGTAATTTGGTGGAGAGCAAGATGTGCATGTTGCTCTTTTCCTGTTGGATGGGCACTGCAACAGGGAAATGCAGGAGAGCTAGTCCTGCTCTGCACAGCTGTGCAGCTAGTCAGTCTTTGCAGGCTCAAAGCAGAGCTTCCTCATATGTGGCTGATCACGCACTGGTTTCCTGTTTGGAAATGTAGGTGCAGTCATGT